AGTTATTTATTTATTATATATATATATATATATATATATATATATTTTTTTTTAATAGATAGACAAGTTTTCAATGCTCTGTTAAAGAATACAATTTGCTAGAATCACAGAGATGTGTATATTTTCGACGGAATATTGACTCCACATTCTGGGATGATTTTGTTACAATCCTTGATAATGGAGGAAGACGACAGAAGCGCGGTTGTGTTCTGCCCCGTAACACTGTAATAGTTCGATAAGTTGCGTGTCTCTTTATTGTCGCGGTATCGAATAGCGTGTGTGCGCGCAGCACACCGGGATCTGAAAAACTTCTTGCGATCCTTTCCATTCTACGCGGGGCAAGCACTTTGCATACATTACACAGCGACCGCGACTCGTAAGAAAATTATCGCGAACAAAGCGCGTGGCTGTTATGGGTCCCGCCGAGTTAAACACATACCCTCCCGTCTCGTACATTCTTCCCATTAATTAGCCTCGAAAAAGCGGAATCGTGGCGCCAGCTGGTGAATCACTCAAACTATACGTTACGCCGTTCGACTTCGCCTATTTCAATAATATGCCGCAGGCTGCGGAATAAAATTATCGCCGCAGCGCCGGCGCGTGTATGGACGCACTTACGTAAACCGCGCCTCGGTCCGACTTGGCGTGTCCGTGCATAATACGCATGTATTGCACCTGCGTAACATATCGGTATATATATATATATATATATATGTGTGTGTGTATGCACATGTAACGGCGCCAAGATATGCCCAATACTCGCGGTAATACTCCCGGGGATCTCATTAAAGATGCCGAGACGATTAATCATGCCGACGAATCTTGGAAACTCACCTGACAGAATACAGATTCTGTTTTTCTTTTTTTTTTGCATTTGAAAAATTTTCTTCTCTCTTTTTTATCGAGACAGCGCAAGATGAAGTTAAGAGAACATTTTTTTTTTTGTGTGAAAAATTATATTTACTTCAATTGTATTGTGATAGATTTAATTTCGTATTTTAATGATTCACGTATTTTTTTTTTTTTTTTTTTTTTACATCGAGTGTGATGCGTTCTAAGGAATTTGTTTTTTGTCTATCGATTAATATTAACGATTTTTTAAGAAGCGCGACTACCAGATTCTAACTGTTCGTTCTCGGCCATATCGGCTTCTCGGTAACTGTCGAGACGTTCGACCGCGTGAACCAAACGTTTCTTCAGCTTTGCGAACTCCTTAGTGGATGTCATTTTGCTTAATGTAGGGGCCTTTGCATCCAGGTAACTTGTGGATTTTCTTGACGTGTACCGTAAAAAAGTACTCAGACTGACGTCAGCAATCTCTTCCCAATCCTGAAAAACCGATCAATCGAACTTTTCGAAAAAAGTATTTGTTGCAGACACATGGTAACGAGAACTTTCTACGATTATGTAAATTGGGAATTTTGTACGATTGTAACCTGATTCTTCCAGATGGTTAATATTATGAAAAGAATGTATCTCTTCGCGTGCAAAAATATGGATTTATGTAAAAATAAATAATTATAATAAACTATACAATGTAATATGCCAAGCTACGTATCAGATAATTAGAGATTAAAGAAAGCAACTCTCGGCGAACTCGATATATATAAATTTGAAATTAATTTTGCTTTTAACTTACGACGCAGCAGCTCAAAGCTAATTTTTAATAAATCGATATATTCAAATTTTGAATCGATTAACCCTCCTTTTATATATATATATGTACATTTGATAAAAGAAAAATTATCAGATTCCTAAGATCGAGACCGCCTAAGAGAGTTGCTGTCTTTATTCTCTAAATAATTATGAGTTAATCAAAATTGATTAAATTGAAATTATATTTTTAGTATTTTAATCACTTAGGGCGTATATATATATAATTAAAAAAAAAAATATATATATATATATATATATATATATATACATGCCCTAATATATATATATAATTTAAAAAATATATATATATATATATATCAACCATCGCGTCACAAAAGTACTTACGAGCTCGTCACGCAGCTGCGGCTCGAATCCGATCGCGGCTTCGAGCATCGCGTACTTATCGTCGTTTACATTGAGCCGCAACAGCAGGAGCAGTAACCTCACGACGCACCGCAGACCGTGGCCGGAGCGTTCCCGTTCCTGCAACAGCCCAATTACTGCGTTACATCACGCCGCATTGACGGACTGCACGTCGCCAATCTGTCCGGATGATGCGAACTGAGATTTGGGTCAGAAATCAAAACCGGTATTTCGGCGAGGTCAGACCGCCTTCTCCGTAATCTTTTTTTCTCTCGTTACGTTTATCAATCGTGCCCTTTTATCGTACTGAAAATTAACTCCAATTATAACGATCTTGATTTTAATTTAAAATTTCACTCTTCGTTCTTACAGAAACGTCGGCTATTATGAGTTAGATTGTTCTTGATGGCTCTTCATAAAAATCCGGATATAAGGAAATGCGATTTAATGCAAATTAATTCTAGATTTCGAAGATTACGAAGTTACAACCTGGCGAGATGTATCCGTATCGATCATTTTTTTATTCGTTTGCGTCTTCGTACTTTTGATTCGGTTTAATGACAGCGAAGCGATCCTTCTGGCGTCTTTGGCTGTCTTTGCCTTCATTATGCGCCTTGTCTGCAACATGGATCTCCTGTGTATCGCGCGGATCAGCGCTTACATCGAATTCTCCTTTTCCCGGAGTGCCATAAATCTCGCAAATAATAAGCCACTCGAGCGCGACGAGAGGGATCGAGTAACGATCGCGGGCATGTTGATACGGTTTCGCGAAACCACCGGTGCGATTGCCATCTCCGCTTCCAGATCGGCGCGCGATAAAGCATGGCGTACCGTATCGGTCGCGATCGGCCGCCAAGTGGCTCTCGCGTGTTTTATACGGCCGAGATTATGGTTGCCGCTCGCCGTCGCTGTCAGCGTCGGGTGAATAAGCGAGGGCAACTGTACCGAGCAATTACAGTGTGCGCAACTCGCCCGATATTACACGAGACAAACGGATTTTGAAATTACAACTTAGCCGCGGTTCGAAATCTATTTTGTCTGTGTGTGTGTGTGTGTGTGTGTGTGTGTGTGTGTGTGTGTGTGTGTGTGTGTGTGTGTTTCCGAGCAGACGCCGCCACGACGTCGACGACGTTGTTGCGGACGTTTTTGAAGAGATTAACGAATTTCGATAAGATTAGCGACGTGATACGT